CGGTTGCCACAGCATGAACACCTTATGGTGCTCTAAATCTCAGTCCTTTAAATTTTACCTCAAAATTCTGGCAATTTATAGCTTATTTTATTCCCAACCTATGCTTTCATGGATGCTATATCATCCAAAGGCTTTCAGAAATGGGAGAGTGGTTTGCACCCTACACTGCTGTCCTGCTTATTTTCTGTTAAGCCCAAGCTAGCCAAGCAGCTTATTTATTTCAGGCATGGAGTCTAGAAACTATAGCTTGTAATCTCAATTTGAGAGGATGTGGAGGGCTTAAATTAACAGTAAGTTTGTTATAAAATTATTACTTTCATCGAATATTCCACTACTATAATATGGCCTTGATATATTTGTAACAGATCCATAGCTCAGATAATTTAATACTTTCATATATTTATAAAGTTACAAGAATATTATGGTATACTCAAAAATAGAGTCTTATATCCACACAAAAATTCAATGCTGGCTATTTCCAAACGGCAAACACAGGTCCAGAACAAGCCAAAATCCCAACACTGGCGATCACTAGCGCAATTGAATTGAAGTAAATATTTTGTTACATCATATCGGTAATTTATATATAAACAAACAAAAAGTATTTGCCATAATACAAGATACAAATGTGTACAGATCGTACGTATAAATCCGCAATCAGATTAAATGTAACAATTAACTTGTATTTGAAATCTTGCAAATAAATGCAATTTCGACTTTGTTTACGTCGTATTCGTGAATTTCCACGTGTAATTCCCGCACTTGAACACCAATTTCCGGTATCGGTGTTATTGATCTCACGCCAGCCAATGAAATTGATAATTTCATTCCGTTTCTCCAGAGTCATGCCCAGCACCTAACCTGCGAACGGGCATACTCTGGGTACGAGATTGAACTAGAACCTATTTAATTAATTTAAATCTAAAAAAACCTAATTTTTTGCACAAGCCAATGTTTCCTCTTACATAAAAGATTAATTTTAACCCACAATCATTACTCTTCACGTTACCATGACAACATGACGTCACCATCTATATTGGCTATATCAACCAAAAAAGCCGTCTTAGCGGACAAATAACCACGGTGACCTACCTTTTTTATTGCAGAAATTACATTGTTATAAAGTTCGAATCTTTTTTGAAAGTTATTTGAAAATCGCCAGTGTAGTTTTCGAGAAACTGAATTTCAGCCTTTTCAGAGGCTAAAATGCAATCTTAAAGGCTGAAATTCAGTTTCTCGAAAACTACACTAGCGATTTTCAAATAACTTTCAAAAAAGATTCAAAACTTTATAACAATGTAATTTCTGCAATAAAAAAGGTAGGTCACCGTGGTTATTTGTCCGCTAAGACAGCTTTTTTGGTTAACATAGGCCATATAGATGGTGACGTCATGTTGTCATGGTAACGTGAAGAGTAACGATTGTGGGTTAAAATTACTCTTTTATATAAGAGGAAACAATGGCTTGTGCAAAAAATTAGTTTTTTTAGATTTAAATTAATTAAATAGGTTTTAGTTTAAAACACTGATATATATATATATATATTGGAAACTGTAGGGAGTGTCCTTAAGTTCGCTATTTCTTACTGTACAAATCCTTCAAAATTTAGAATTTAACTATGCAAAATTCCTTCTGTGATCACATTTTTCGTTTTCTTCTATTCACACTAGATTTACCTGCGAGAAGTCCAGAAACAGAAACGTCACGTACAATTTGGCCGTCATCTTTCTGCGAGGAAAACCACCTACAGTAATTATAAAGAATAATCACATGAACAACAAAAAAAGTGTACAATTATATTACTGTATATGTAGATCATGTAGATATACTAACTATACTATACCATCAACATCCCATGTTATAGAAACTACGATTTCTCCAGAGCTTCCAGGTATGTTGGGGGTTTGGGAATAAAAACTAAGAATCAAGTTAACTTGCCTTTGGCAGGGAAATTCAAACACTCGATTACTATCTTTGCCCTCACTGATGTACACTTTTTCAAGGAACCAGCCATGTTCTATAATATTACGCAAACAAACATGTTGTTTCTGAAATACTGCACGAGGAAATATAACGGTCAAACGAGGATGGGAGTTCGCTAGAGTTGGCAGTCACGCATTGTTATTGAGGACACTTCAAGCTCTAGATTAACAAAATAAAGGTTGAGTGCTCCAACTATGTTTCAACTTAGATAGAATACATGATAGTGTTGAGAAAGCATTAAGAACAGCTAACCATGGTCGGATTTTGAGGGGAGGTGTGGGGAGACGCGCACTTCCACTGAGATCGTTTTGCACCTCCCCTGAAAAGTCATGCACCTCCCCTTAGGAAAGTTTCAATGATAGATCAAAGTGAAAATTTGACATTTTTGGTTGCTTAATAGGGTCTACACTTCGTAAGAAAGCTTTTCTGTAAAATTGAAACAGTGATAGCCATTCACCTCTGTGTCAAGTACCCTTTTATGCGATGTTTTGAAAAAAACTTTGTAGTAATTGTAATGAAGGGCAAAATTTGATAAGTTGTACTGCCATAATTCATGAATACACTGATACATATGTGTACACAACATGCATACGTCACGTCGTTGACTTTGGCCCGTTCTAAGCCCTAACTTTCCATGATGGGGGTCGTGAGCTAGACCACTGCACCTCTGCCACCTCCCCTAAATTTTTTCCACCTCCCCCACTATTTCCACCAAAATCCGGCCTTGCAGCTAACCAATGTCACGTGACTGCCAACCAGTGAACTCAAAGAGAACTGGAACGATAACTTGGCCGCCATCTTTAAAGCCACTCATGATGGCCGCCATGTAGGTATGGAGTGGAAAATACGCCGCCTAAAAGATGTCTGTTTTCGACCACTAAATAGCTGTATTTCAACAAGGAAAAAAGCTAAAAACTTTCAACAATACCTGAAATTTAATACAAAACATGTTTCCAGAACGTAGAGCAGTTATAAAGTTCTTTTTTCAGGAGCCAAAGTGCGAAGTTTTTTTCGGCACGTTCAAACTTGTGTAATATTTTGAATATCAAGCTGTTACCCGGGAAGTTTTTGCTGTTAGTGGATGTAAAATACTTAGAACTATCCAGGAAACCAGGTTTGAATCTTTAAAGTTGAAGACTTTCGATAAAAAAGTGCTTTTTCTTGCTGATTTTCGCTCAAAAACAAACTTTTGACTGAATTTCCCGCTCCTCGAACTCTCCCCAGTCCTTTTGAAAGTTAATTTATTGCTCGCTGAGCTTGCGAGAAGCGCCATCTTGGCTTCGGGTAAGTATGGGCATGTTTATCTGCAGTTAGCGTTCCAGTGTTATTACAGTTCACTGCTGCCAACTCTTGTGCACTCTCATCTCTCATCTTTGTGTGACCAGCATGGGCGGATTTACTGGGGGGTTAGGGTGGGTGGGTTAAACCCCTCCTAGAATCTCTCTAACCTCTCTTATTTATAAAGTGTTCAACCCCACCAAAGTTTTGCTTCACCCCTCCTATTTTGTGTGAAAGTCTTTAACCTTAACGCCTAACCCCTGTCAAAGCTCTCTCAGTGGTGCCGCTTGCACCCCACCAGAAATTTTTCTACCCCTCCTTTAAAAAAATGAAAATCCGCCCTTGTGATCTAGGCTTAAGACAAAGAATAAAACGAAGAACAGTATTCGGTCCATACTCCATATCATAGTATAAGTTTTAGCATACAGCTGGAAAGAGCTCATTTCCATTGATATGAATCAAATAGAATGACGATTAATAACATGGACTCCAACTTGTAAGTACATCTATGCTAAGTCCGAAGTTAGATTGCATTCCTACCTGGTGTAGTTTTAGAATGTCCAATACGAATGTTTTGTAATTCTCCCAAATATAAAGAATCAAGAGGAAAGATATCGACCTATCAAAACACAGTTGCATGTACTATAAATCATTGTATTCTGCATGGGGTCGGTTGTACGAAGGCGTTCGAAAGCCTTCGTTGCTTGGGGGGGGGGGCAAAGTGCCCCCAGTTCAAAAGGCAAAGCCTCCCTCTCGGTGGGTCAGAGGCTTACCACAGACTGAAATAAACCATGCAGACGAAAGTAATTTATTTACCTGTCCTCTCCGAAACTTGTGTGGATGATTCATTGATTTGAGCAGCGGTCGTTCACCGGAAGTGCCATACTCGCCAAATAAGGTCAATTTAATATCAGCCTCGGTTCCAGCTCCCCGACAATCTCCGGTCAAAACATAAATTTGGTAGGTCAAAGCTATAAGATGGTAAGTAAATATTTACAAACGCAAAAACATTATGAGTTACTTGGTCCACATAGCTTTTAAAATTTCCTTTCATAGACAAATTTATTTCCTTTCAAACATCGAAAAAATCCCATCGCGTTGCCGAAACGCAATATAAATCGGGCTAATAGACAGATTTAGAAAAGATCAACGAGGCAAACTTGACGACGCGATCTAATTTTCAGCTCAAGATTGACATCTAAGAAATTTGATTACTGCAATAAATTGAAGCATTTTAAAATAACCTTATACAAACGGCTAAGTTCGGAAAAAAGATTCGGTGTCTGCTATGAGACAGATTTTATGTAACTCCTCCAACGTCGCAACAAGCATTTACGTTGCTCCAATGATGTAAAAATCTTAGTTTAACGATGTATTCAGCATGACAACAGAGACCTTACGATTTTAGGACGGCAACGGCTACCAATACAATAGATCATTGAAAAGAATTGAGTAATTACAATATATGAATAACTTAGACATTGTCCTCGCTCAATCACAGATTTTCACGTCTTGATACAACGGCTGCATTCCAAGCTACAACAAGTGCAACTTCAAACTGGGTTTAGCAGAACTCTTTCCAACCATAAAACCCATGTCTTCAACTTCTAAAACTGTATTAAATTCATACGATTGATAATATACGACGAACTATCTTTACTACCATTTATTTGAAGGAGTTTGTTTTGCATGGCCGTCGCCATCCTAAAATCGTATGGTATCTAATGTTGTTGAGGATACTACTCCTGGGATGACAAATTATTCAAACTTTTTGTTCTGCATGAAGAATTTCTATGTTTCAGTTCGCGCCGTGTTTTCTAAATCAATCTAACACATTAAACTGGGAAACTAGCGACAAAACATCTCGCATTCAAGAAGAATACTTACTACGAATTCTTGGAACGTTCGGCTTAGGAGATCTTTTGTAAAAGAACTTTTGATCGTTGTTCATCATATTCATTTCATCATCGGACGAGTTCATTCCTATCACAAGTCCATTCTTTTTAACCGTTTTCCCATACTCAAAGCGAGCGCTCTGGGGACGATACGGCGCGTGTTGCAGACTGGGTTCCAGCGGTTTCCTCCGCGCTGTCTTTCCAGCCGTGGCTGGTCGTGGTTTATACGGTGAAATTATTGCGTTCTTCTTAGGAGCTTTGCGTCGATGAACTTGATTTCTGCAAAGAGATAAAACGCATGAAACTGATGAAAGTCATTTTGATGCAGAAACGTAAGGGCTGTTGACATGATTCCGCTTTGCCGGAACGAGATGTGAGCTGGAATGATTTTGATGTAGTTGAGGCCGACCGACCCTATTTTTTTCTGCCGACCCTATTATTTTTTCAACACGATTGACCGTGCGACCCTATTTTCTCCGGGTGGTTGCGGGCTGCTGCCAAAATGGCGTCTGTTGTCACACTAATCATTCAGAAAAACCATGAAAAAAATATTTAAAAAAAACTATTTTCGACCTACCGACCCTAATTTTTTCGCGATATGAAACCGGAACCACAGGTATTTTTTTTACGCCTGATGTTTGCAAAATTGGATTGAACAATATTGTGCTGCCCACATTGTTCACTATTGTCAACAATATTGAACAACATTGTTACACCCGATTCAGGCTCAACAATATTGTTGACAAGTGTGAACAACGTGGGCAGCACAACATTGTTCAATCCTGTTAAACAGCAGGCTCGTCATTTTTACGCGTGTACAACAGGAAAGCTGTAAATTAGATTAATTAACATACCGAACGTTCTCACTGGTATCAGATTGAGCAGAATTATTTGAGGATTTTGAGAGAGTCTTTCGCTTATTGTCCCCGTTTTCCACCGTAGGCGAACCTCTAGGAGGCGTCCATCTGGGCGGGCGACGATCACCGGCTCTCTAGAAAACGATACAATGTGGAAAATGAAATACAGCTATCAATCAAGATCGATAATGACGATAACCACTTTCGGCTCAAATATCAAATTGTTAATATTTTTCCCGCGCGTAATGCAAATATACCGTAAACCTCCGATTATAAGCCCCCCGAATATAAGCCCCCCCC